CTCGTTAAGTAAGGCAAAAACTTCTTCCAAATGTTCCTCTAATGTTTCGCTGGTAACTATGATATCGTCAAGATAAATAATTGTATTTTTACCTAAAACTGGCTTCCATAGCTTTTTGGAACATAGCTGGCACTCCGCTTAAAAGGGTATAGACGCCTGATTTTGTAATGAACGCGGTCTTCTGGACATCCTCCGGCTTAACGGCGATTTGGAAGTAACCCGAAGTGAGGTCTAGGGTTGTCGTGAATTTAGTCGAGCGAATTTTTTAATTATTTCGTCAATTATTGGTAGGGGATATGTGGGATATTTTGTTATACTGTTCAACTTACGATAATCAACTGCAAACCTATACACGTCCGGGTATTCAGGCGGTAGTCCGTTCTTTTTTCTACAAAGGACCACCGGACTTGCGTAAGGACTAGTGCTTGGCACAATAATTTTATTTTCTAGCATTTTTTTTCAATATATTGCTTCTCGATAATTTTTTCTTCTCGTTCACCTTATCATACCTATAGGGCTTCGACCGGACTGGAGGGGCATTCCCGGTATTAATGGAATGGTTAACTACCTGACAAAAGCCAGGTTTGTCGTTAAACAAAGAATTAAATTTTCCTTACTAATTCCTTTCAATCTTCTCTTTCTCTTCAAGCTTCAAAATGGCTCTAAATGCAATTTCGGCATGGAAACTTCATCTTCTTCTACCGAGTCCATGTGCATCTGAAACGTAGAATTCTGAAAATTAAGATTTGCGCCGGATGCGCGTAAAAAATTGACCCCCAATATAATGGACGTGAGTAAATTTTTCACAACTAAAAAATTAACTTTTAGGACCTCATTTTTAATCTGAACATGCAGTGTGGTTTCCCCCAAACATATGCACTGTTTGCCTTGGGTGGCAATTACTTTCTGTCCCGTGGCTTTAAAAGTCTGTAACGACGAAAATGCTTTTTAAAAAAAATTTCTGAAAGGAATGAACATTGTGCCCCTGTGTCCAGGAGTGCATTGGTTGGTAAATTATTTACCAGGATCTGTACTTCCAGCATAGCTAGATTTTGTACCACCACTGTATTTAAACAAATTTCTGAGGGGTCTTCTTTCCCACTCAGTGACCGTTGCCCCTTCTCGATCACCGGTTTGCGTTTAAACTCTGGTTACCTGCCGCCTCTTTTCGCTGATTTTTATATCCACCGCTCGTAGATTTATCTGCGCTCTTGTTATTGAACTTTTCACTTTTTCCCAATCTGCCGATACGCATTGTACTGAACTTGCAGTTTCTTTTGAGGAATAAATCTTGAGTACTGGCCAAACTGACTTTCACGCGCTTTCTCCGAGTTTCTTCTACTTTGGAATTTCTCCGCAAAGCTGGAATAGAACTTTTAATGTTTGCGGATTACTCACTTCGAGGAAATCTTGCGCTGACAGTAGAAGACGCGACAGAATTACTTCGATAAGTTCATTATCGGGCCTTATCCCGTATAATAAATTAAAAACTTGTATTTTTCGTAGAATAAATTCCGTCAACTCATCGAAATTGCTTTGCTATTTACTGTACAATTCTGATTCTAGCTTCGCACGATACTTAACAACTGGAAATGCTTTCACTAATGCCGACTTAAAATATTCCCAGTTGTACAATTCGGATTCTGGGTCCCCCAAAAACTTTGTATACTCTTCTGCCAGCTAAGGGCTTGACCTTTAAGGCCGTAGTAGCTATGATCACCTTTTGTAGCTGATTCACAGGGTGTAAGGTGAAATGTAGGTCCAATGCTTCAAAAATGTCAGACTGAGCCCTTGCCGTCAATGTTGCTGTTGGTTTCATAGATGCATGCAATTTCCACGAGAATTCAAACCCCTCTACTGGATTCGTGGATGTTAGTGGGACCTGAAAGGTCGGAAGGGTCAACGTAAACTTTCCGGATTCTAACGACATGGTCCGTTAAAAAACTTTTCGGGCGCCAAATGTAGAGTTCCTCACTTTGAAATTCGAAGTTAATGTTGGAAGTGAAGAATCTAAGAACTGATAAGCGAATAATCGCTTGAGTTCGGTGACAAGAAACAACAAGATAGAAGGGTAACTAACCCTTTATTATTTCAATAAGATTTAACAAAACTCCACCTGGGAGTGTAGCCCGCACTTGGACTTGAACTTAAAAGACTAAGAATTAAACTAAAACTAAGATTAACTAAACAAGTATAGCCGAAGCTATCAAGGTTCAAATCGAGTTGGCCCCTTAACTTTTTTGACTGCGAAGTTTAGCAAGGGCTTGAGTACGGCTGAGCGTAATAACAGCTTTGAGAGAGAGAGAGAGAGAGAGTGTGGGAGTGGCCTTTAAGGCAGACGCGCGTAGATCAGAAACTCTGATTCTCTCTGACTCAGTTAGTAACTTCGTGGTTTAAATACCGCTCCTCCTCATTAAATATTCAGCAAGATTACAAAACTACGTTCTGGCCGGAAGTAGTAAGTTGAAGTTAAGAATTTGACAAGAAAGGAACTTTAACTTAAAATTTAACTGTTAATAACATAATCCTTACAAGGGAGCTGTGATAAAATAGTGTTTGGAAACCACTGGATTATATGGTTATTTCATACCAAACTCAAAATATCTCGTAATTGTTTTGAACAGTGAATGTGACTGCAAGATGTTACTCCTCAGTAGAAAAGAAATTGAACCTAAAACTCCATTACAGATCAATGGAGAAAATTTATTTCCAAGCCTAAGAGTAGCACTTCAACTACTTCTTACTATTTTATTATCGAATGAACGTTCGCTCTATAAACGAAGCTATGAACGTTCGTTCAGCAAATTAAAATAAATTTGGACATATTTACAATCAACAATGGTACAAGATCCCCTAAGTCATCTAGAATTTTTAAATGTGGAAAAGAAAAATTTTAAATGACCGACTTTGATGAGGTATTTTATAAATTTCCTTCATCCAAGACAAGAAAAATGTATACATAGTAATTAATTAAAGTATTAATTTATTATAACACTATATTGTAACTAATAAATATATCTACTTATCTATAATATATATTAACGTTTTATTGTTTAAAAATTGTACTTTTTTAAAAAGAATTATATAAATATGTAAAATAAATAATATTTTCTTATTAGAATATATTCTATACATTATATTACCGTAAGAGTTTTTTTTTTTTTTTTTTTTGAGGGAGGGGGCGCCAGAAAAGGTATCTTGCCCCGGGCACCCGTTATGCTCACTACCCAGGAAATCTTGTAATAGTTTAGTTCGCATAGTTTTTCTTCTCTCATGTAAACTAGTTGTGTAAATTGAACTTTATTTAAAATTTAAAAAAAAAAAAAAATATTTTCCATGTTCAGGTAATGCTTATTCTCTATTAATAAATACTGCATTTCTCATATTTTAAAGTACAAGTCTAATTTTTAAAGTTATGCAATTGTGTATAATGTAATTAGACAGGTGCTTATTTTCTTCCCTTAAAATGTGCTTGAAAAGTGCTTATAGGTACTTATTTTTTTAACTAAAATGTGGCTATGAACCCTGTTAGATTCTGTATTGGATTATTTAAATCATCAGTACATAAACTAGAAATGGATTTAATTCTGTTGTTAGTGTATTTTCTGTTAAATGTAACACTTTTCAAATTATTGTTGCTTAATAATAAAAACTGTATTCTTTAATTTGTGTTTGAGTCCTAGTTATAATAAAGATAGTGATGCAGTCAAATCTTTAATCTGGACTCGTCGGGATTTCGGCGATTCCGGATTATCGGTTTTTCCGGATTATAGATCATCAGTTTAAATCTGGTAAGATGGCATGCAGAAATTATAAAATAAAAAATATGAAACCATAATTTATGAATTAAAGAGCAATTATGATCTAAAGGGTATTAAAATTTGCAAAAAAAAGCTTAATTATTAAAATTATTAAATTATTAAAAAGCTTAATATTTATTTGTTTACTTTATTAAACATTTCTTTTCAATGTGCGCATGCGTAAGCATACGTTACGCATAGTCGAAATTAGAAAATTGCAACCAGAAAACTATTTGATGTATATACGTGATATTTATAATGACGAGGAATTTGATTTAAATCATATCAAAGATGGAGTACATCGAAATGAAATACTACATTTAGTAAGGAATTATAAGCCGAATAAAATAAAAATATCTGCTCTGAAGATAAGGATAGTGCTGACAGATCAACTGTTCATTGCGCACGGTGACATACCCCCCCCCCAGAGCAGCGTGAAATTGATAAACATATTTCGGAATGGTTAGAGAATCAAAGGATCTGCCTGACATTTTTTGCAGCAACTCCACTTTTTTTTTTTTTTATGGACATTGGAACATGCTTTCGCTTTGTAGATCCTTTGGTAGCTCCAGAATTGGAAATTCTTTTTGACATAATCGAAAGTTCAAGCTTACTTTTATAAAATTGCTCTAACAGTCTGCAAAAAATAATAAGCCGGATCCAATTAGAAGATTAGGAACAATGTAGGCTGCAACATTAACTGAAATATATAATTAGATAATTTTAGCTTAGCTTGTACTGTCCGTTATACATTAAACGCGCATGCGTAAATGTATTATGCACATGTGTAGACGCATTATACGCATGCGTAAAGGTATGCGCATTATGGGTTAATGCATGCACAAAACGTTTGTAGCTTTGAGGTCCGGATTATAGATCATTCCGGATTAAAGACTTTTGACTGTTGTAGAATAATACAACCTTTTAAGTGGGTTGTCATCTCAGATTTAGTGTTTTTTTAGTACACCAAAAACTAACAAATTTGAATAATAGAATGTTCCTTTAAAATGAAAATCTTAAGTTGCTAACAAAACATAATGTGTTGGAAATAGTAAAACTGTTGAAAGTTTGTCATTATTAAACTGAAGTAAAAATTTGAATGAAGGAAGATTTTAGTTTGCTATCTCAAAACATGTTTATCTTATTTTAATTTTAAAATTTGAAGGAAAAAATTTTGAAGTATATCTTGATTATATGTAGGTGTTGGTGGAAATTTAGTTGCAGTGCAGTCTAGTCGAATTTCAACTTATCTTCATCAGAAATCTGAGATGGGAACACTTCCACTGACAGATCCCAAAATTTGCATCAATCCTTTTACCGCTTTCTTTGGAAAAGGTACTGATTTAAATTTTCTTCATACATTTTTTTATGTAATATTATTGCTTGAATATATGTAATTTAGATGTGGTCTATATCTGTATGCAAGTATTTCAATTACGTGTTGTAAGCAAAAATAGTTTTATATGTATAAAGTTATATATCGTAAGCATTTGAACAATGTAAAAATACCATATTCTAATAGTGTGTTTAATTTATTGACCTAGAAACAAATGTAAACAAGCTATTTATTCAATATACAGTATTCTACATGTTAATGCTATGTGAAATATTTTATATTATGTTCAGAATAAGTTTTAGATAGTTGTAATTTATGGTGATATATTCATGTTTTATGCAGAGTGCTAATTGGTTGCTGTTTCTCGTTACCTTTATTTAATTTTAAATTCTCAATATGTAATTTTTATAAAATATGGAACTGTAATGAGTTCTTGAAATTGCAACTATCTTATACAATAAACTAGATGTAAGAAGCATTTTTGCCTTGTTATTGATTGATATTTGTAGGTTGGGCTTCCCATTCTTTACATATACAGGTTTTTCCCAGTTTACTGAACTAAAATATACTTTAGAAACAGTCAGCCAAAATTTTATTTTAAAAAAATCATTCATTAATTAGTGCAGGGGGAATTTTGAATATTTTTTACCCCTATTAAAAGCTGCTTCTGAATCATGCCAACTAATACATGAAACCTAAACTAATACTAAAAGCATGAATAATATGGTAAACACACATTCTACTGAAATAAAATTATAATGTGCAGTATAATTTGTTTCTAAAATTTGGAATATAACAAGCATATTTGAAGATTTTTGTAAGAAGTGATAGTGATGACATGCCAAACTGTGTTTTGGAAATTTGATAATGGGAGGAGGAGGTGAAAGGAGGAACATCATTTATTGATATTTTAAGTGGACAAACTAATTTAATCAGTTCACTAAGACTACAATTTCTGTGTCAGAGAGAGAGGATGAGCTTGCTTCATTTATTGATGTTTAATTTGTATCCAGAAAATCACTTTTTAAGATTTCTGTATCTTGCCTCATTATTAGTCAAGGTTTTATCATATGCTCTAGTTGATTCAAGACACTTGAAATGCAACAGTATACTGGACATTTAAACTGATACTTTTACTTTAATATGCAGTTTTTTTAATGTAATGAAAATATCCTCACAAAACTATTTTAAACATATTTATTGTTTCATAATTGTTTACAAGTTGCATTCTTAAAAGCCATTGCATAAAACAAATCCCGATTATCTCTTTTTTAATAGTAACAAAATCTCATTAGAATTTGAGTACTGAAAAAAAGATTAAAGTGAGGTCTGATGTAAGAGTTAAATGGTATTAAGTGAACTTTAGTAATGTGGAGATACTGGTGCCTTGGGGGCTTTTTGGGCATTGTAATAAACTGCAAACTTTTTTTTTTGGAGGGGGGAAGAGTGATAAAATTTTATGCATTTCAAATGCATCATTTTAAATGAGACTTCAGTTAAAAAAAATTATTTGAAATTTTTATTTATGGATCTTTTCTTGTTAAAAGATGGAAGTGGTCATATTAATACAAGTTCAGATCTGCTAGTTGGCTTTTGTTTGTATGTGTGTGTGTTTATTGATTGCTAGTTAAAGATGTCATTTACTAAGTAAGGATTTGAAAATTAACTATATTTTGGAAACTTTTTTTAAAAAAAGCTGACATTTTCAAAAAGTAATAGTAACTTTTACAGTTTATAGATTTCAGTATGACTAGTATGTAAAAAATATTAGACAGTTTACAAGAAGAAGTAATCTTTCACGGGAAGTAGAAGGCTGACACTTGGTGAGCTCAGTCTGTGATACAGGCCCTTATGCGAACCACTAGAAATATAGCTTTCTGTTTAGAAAATGAATCGTAACTCTTGTCCATGTCACTAATTGGCTGATTTACCATGCAAGTATATATCCTTCCTCTAATAAATAACATTTTTTTGCAAAAATAAACTTTTGCTTTCGAAAATAAAAAGGTAAGTACACAAAATTTAAGCAATGAAAGCAACATAAGCAAAGCATAATAGAACTCCTTATAATAACTCCAAAAGACCCTACAACAGTAGCAAACAAACAAAAAAAAAATGAAGGGATATCAACAATGTGAATGTTTATATCACATAGCGAGTTAGAGACCAGCTCTGTTTGTTTACATTGTGCTTTGCCTCTGCCCCTGCAGCAGCTGACATCAACTTCATACAGAATGTGATCAAACTGAAGGTCAGAATCCTAAAACTATATTCAGTTGAAAAGAATTGACACAGGATACCATCTAGTGGTCTTTAAAATCTCTTTCAGCTTAAAATGCATATATGCATCGCCTAACCCTTGCGTTAGTTCTCAGGTGATGTGTGGGTGGGACGCCTGGCTGTGAGAGACATTTGTGGGGAATGCATATACCCGTCCTGAAAGGGTTAAAGGTGCAGCAGTGCAGAATTTATTTATGTGGTAGTCTAAAAATGATTGTTTAATATGCTACAGTGAATCTAGGCTGAGAATCATCCGAGTGCTGTGAATAAATGTCCAGAGAGAAAGGTTAAATTTGACTTTTTAAAATAATATTAATTGTGATTGTTAAGTGTGATTATAATCATAATTTTTTACATGTTGTTGAATATTATATGGCTGTCTGTATGGGTGATTATATGAGTACATTTTCCCTAACTCAAAAAATGAAGTATATAATCTTGCAATCATTTCAAGAATTTAGAATATTCTGATAATGATGCTAAGTAAAACCACTACTCTGTAACTTTCCGTTAGCAACTAATGAAAATATATGAAATCTTAATTTGAAATAAGGCTCATAATCTGAAATTATGTTATTAATAATTGTTCAATGATTTCTCACTTAAAAAAGACCCCTTCATGTTAAGGTAAAATTGGCTGATATTAAGTATAAAAGGAACGATTACTTAGAGTAGAGGAAAGGTAAATAAATTCAAAAGAATTATATCATTTAAAGTATATTTAATATTCATATGAATATTTATAAAGAAAGATCAAAGCAAGTGAAAACTTTTAACTATATTTGTCCTTGTTAAAGCAGTGTTGGTATATCAGCTTCCTTTTCATTCTCACTCTGTTAATTTTATTCTTGCACATCTTTCTGTATTAGCAGGTATGAGTAATATTCAATATTACTAACTATTGTATTTTATTGTTATATATGCATTCATCAATTTGTAGGTTTTATTTTGGGTAATAGTGTTTATGGAGGACTAATTATGCAGTATTTAGAAACATGATTTTCTCAAATGTAATTAAGCACAATTTATAGGCAGATATGTTAGAATTTATGTTTGGGTCAATAAATTATATGCAGTATTTGTACTTACATTATCTTTCATATTATGTATGCTAAAAAAGAGTAAAAGTTGAAAACTTTTTAATTACTTGCTTAAAAAAAGTAGTGAACTGGCCTTAAGTAAATTCTGTATAGGCCAGTTTTTCTTTTAACTGTGCATTATATCTTCCTGGCTTTACAGGTCTCAGCAAAGTGGATTAAGGTCATCGATCTAAATTTGCTGGTAATTCTCGCTCTCATTCACTTTGCTTGATGCAATATCCTGGTTTTCCTGAAGTTAATGGTTTTCCTTTAGTTCTAGCTATTTTCCCTCTCTCACACTTGTTTTCCCAGAAGCTTCTGTAATGTTTGTCTTGTATTCCCTTTTTTTATTTTTCCAGTGCTATCTTTCAAAACATATTTATTCCCTTAAGAATTCCTGGCCTGTTTATGAAATACCTAATTTTAAATTTACATAGATTTTTTAAAATTTGATATCCAGTATAAATCTAGAAAATTTAAATATAACTATATTTTGTAAAAATTATCTTATATTTTTCACTCTTTGTGTTCAGTTGTAACTAGGCTATTTTAATCCATCCTACATATCTGAAATTTTGAAAACCTTAAAATTAAAGCTTGCATAATTGTGAAAAGCTGATGCTTGCAAATAATATTCAGATTGAAATTTTTTGAAAAGCAGAAATTTTAATTGCTACGTGTAGCAGCATGTATCTCATTATAACGTTAAGTTTTCAAAAATAGATCTGTATGTTTAAGTAATGATGGCATACAGGTGCATTTATTGCATCAATTGAATATTGAGATTTATGACTAAATTTTTGAATTTTTATAGTACTTTAATATTAAATTGAGAAAAACTGCAAATGCAGTGTTATGTTTAGTGCACTATTGGCTGAAGTTGATAACTAGAGCTATTTAGGAAAGATTAGAGTTTGGAGTGGTAAAAATAACTGAATTAGCATGACTTCTTTTCTCACATTTTCCCATCTTAAAATAGCTTTCTGTAATGATATAGTATGCAATCTAGTACCGTAATTTCCGGAAGAAACACTGCAGCGTTTACGTGTTTAAAACTTGAATTTTCAGCGGGTTTGGCATTTCTACCCATGCGGTGTTTAGGTGCACTAAAAATAAAATAGTTCCTATGATGGTCATTGTACATAGTTTGGATGGCCTTGTCATTGTGCATAAGACTGGTGCTGTTCCCACACAAAAGACCACTCAGTTGCTTTTTGCGAACGTTATTTTGTTTACATTCTTTCTCTTCAACAGACCTACATGCCTTATTCACCCTAAACGAGATCTCAGAACAATAATATTTTTCCCCCTTTCAAATCGACATTCTCATCAGTTTGAATAGTCTCTCTCCTCTGCCATTCGATGAATATTCCAGGACCCATCCTCTCCCCACCCCTGCCTTTTCTGCAATTTTTTTCAAAGGCGGACACGACTACACCTGCCTCGCGTATTTTTCCCTTTCAGCATGAATGGATTTTTCTTGGCATTTTGCCAGATACAGATCCCATCAGTTTGGGTACAAGTACTTGTTGGATAGTTTTTAAGTAAGAAGGGAGTGGAAAATTTTTCAAAATGTCCCTAAACGGCACAAAAGCTATACTGCTGATTTTAAGCTTAATGTAATTTCACGTGCTGAACAA